CGTATAACGGATGGCGAATGGCGGTTTCAGCTCAAACCGTTCCGTTTTTCCGTTATAACCCCGTTATAACCGATTTTTGACAACCTTGACCCTAACTAAACTTTTAATCAAAGTGGGTAAAGGTCAGCTCAAAATTTAAACCTAACTGGTCTGTGGATATTGACTTGTTATTTACGTCAATGCTGATTGTATTTGATGTCCCATTCTTGTGCTTCTGTTATTTTCTTACCATGCCTGTGTTTGCAGGGAACAAAGCTCCTAGTGTAAGCTGGCTTAAAGACGATAAACATATGGGTTTAAGATTAAGGCACTTTAAGGTATTTCTACAATGTCTCCATTTCCATTTTGGTTTGCATGTTAATTGAAGTTTTCTTGTTCAATTAAAAAATTGTGAATGTGTCTATGCAGACTGTTACTGCTCTAGAATGGCACCGGAAAGGCGATTACTTTTCAACAGTGATGCCAGCAGATATCCTTTGAGTGTTTCCTCTAAGCAATTGATGCATACCTCGTTATTCATTTGTTTATTGCCTGAGAAGGATTACATGTCTTGGTGATGATGATTATTTTTAAAATATTAATACTTTTAACATGTTGATATTTTTGGTATATTTGTAGTTTTATTTTGTTCAACACAGTATGAGGCATGGCTGGCTTTTGACATGTCTAATTATCATAAATATTATAACCATTTAGACTTGAAATGTTATATGTCATGTCGTTTCATCTCTTGAGGTGTTATATGCCATGTTGTTTCGTCTGTTCTATTTCATGGGTCATTAATGTCTGTGTTCACTTTGTGGATACTTTATCCATGGAACTTACTGAAAACAAACTGTACTAAACGATTTCTTCATTGCCAACTTTTTAGCTGATTTATTATCTGAAAACTAAACTTTAGGTATAAGATTTTAAACTAGGGGTTTGCTGGTTTTTCCTTGACAATTTCTTTACGTGAATCAAGATCAGTGCTGATACACCAGTTATCCAAGAAGCTTACACAAAAACTTCCATTCAAATTACATGGACTTGCTGTTAGGTCAACCTTCCATCCATCCCGTTCCATCTTCTTTGTTTGTACAAAACAGAGTGTTCGTGTGTATGATTTATTGAAGACCAAGATCATAAAGAAGCTTGATACTGGGCTTCGTGAAGCCTCATCCATTGCAGTTCATCCTGGAGGTATGATTATTGTTGATATTAATTATATTGTAATCAGTTTATCTTACACTCATAAATACAAAAAATTACTCATCATAATTGTTTGTCTGTACGCATTTCACGCAGGCGATAATTTGATTGTGGGTAGCAAGGAGGGGAAGATGTGTTGGTTTGACATGGACCTTTCATCTAAACCGTATAAAATTCTTAAGTAAGTTTTTTTTTTTTTATCTGCTAATTGAAACAAGGCCAAACTTGTTACGTTTTTTTTTTGTGCCAGAGTGGTTCTCGGTTGTTAATGCAGATTATATTATAGTGTGCGACCTATAGAGCTTTCTGAATGAAGGAGGAAATAATTTGCCTTTAGGCAGAAGCCATACGAAGTTGATTGAAATGAAAGAGAGACCTGTGGGATGTTCTATATGTATATGTATATTATTAAACTATAAACTATACCTTGCTATTTTTGACGTTTACCAAATTTTGTGAGGTCATGCATGATCGCAATAGAAAATTAGCTATGAAAATGAATGTGTTTACATACGTTGATGTTATATTGTGGAAATAGTATTTCCTGCTAAATTCTAGCAAGTTATTTATTGAACTTTTGAATTTATTACACCCTGACTAGTTCCATAGTGTTGGCAAGTCCAAATTCATATACAGGGACAGACAATTTCATTCTTTGAAAAGACTAAACTAACAGCAAGTAGAAAACATAAAAAAATAACTACTATTTGTATATTGGTTAATGAGCTATTAGTTATTTGGCAACAACTTGGTAAGAAACTTCATTTTCAGTATTTTAATGTCATGACATGGATTATTTTTTAATAATTTGATTACATTGCAGGTGTCACCCAAAAGATATCAACAATGTCATCTTTCATCGCTCCTATCCCTTATTTGCTTCATGTTCAGATGACTGCACTGCATATGTTTTTCATGGAATGGTTTATTCTGATCTCAATCAAAATCCTCTTATTGTGCCTTTGGAAATTTTACGAGGTCATACCAGTTCAAATGGGAGAGGTGAGTGTCCGGCTGTTTATGATGTTATTTTTTGGTGTTGATAAATGTTGAGATCCAATTTTGTGCAAATTTTAGTTTAGATCAACTTAAAAGATAAATGAATCAAATCTTAACTATCAAATTAGTTTAGGATAGTAGAAACAAAAGAGCCAAGATGTTGGATTGGTTTATATTGACATAGCCTTGTCTACAAAGGAGAAAAACAAGTCAAACATTTGAAGTTTAACTGCAAAATCTGTTTAGGATCATGCTTAGTAGAACAGGAGCAAAAGATCCAACATATAGGATTTGTTTGTAATGGCATGGCCCTGTCTTACAGAGGAATGGGATAGACACAATGCTACTTGCGGCTTTGGTGCGCATTTATTTCTGTCCTTATAGGTTGGTTTGTAGACAATTGATTCCTGATCATAGCCAAAGAAAAGGAAAAATATATACAATGTTTGAATGATTAGATCAACCTTCCAACTAATTTTTTCGGCCTTTGTGGGGTAACTTGAGAGTTCAACTCTACGTCATGTGGTCTCTGTAGATGTAATTTGTTGACATGGTTACAATTATTTGATCAATCAACCTTGAGTATCTGTCTTTGATGTATTACCCTCCTCATTTTAATTATCCATTATATATTATATTCTGCTTGTTTGACAATGCATTTGAAAATAAGTACATGTATGCTAAATACTTTATCTTACTTGGAAGTTGTCTTGCATTGCAGGGATACTGGACTGTAAGTTTCATCCAAGACAGCCATGGTTATTTACGGCTGGTGCTGATAAACTGATTAAACTTTACTGTCATTAATACAAATACGGATATTCTTGTATACATGCGATATGTGGATAACATCTAGGAGTGTTGCGTGCAACTTTATCACCAATTTTGTTCATCAATTCTTAAATAGAAAGCACTGCTAGCTGAAATGAAGGGCAACTGACGAGTTAATTTCTTGCTCTGGTTTTCTTGACCGTCTTTGTTCACATATCACATTTATCTTTATAAAATCTTTAGCTGAAATATCAATCCTGGAATTCATATCCGCAAAACTTGGCTTGCGGTAGAAACAAAACTTCAATTTTGATGTAACGTGTATCAATGAGAAGCCCATTATTTTAAGACATCCAGCGGTGTTTTTATTTTTTATTTTTTTTCTCTTTAACGTCAATCATGCAGTTTGGACATTGTAATGTTTTGATAGGTTATTAAATGAAGTCCCCTTTAGTTGAGGTTAAAGGATAATAGTTGCTTAGGCTTTCTTAACACTAAAGTTTTGATCAAAAGTCTATTATTATTGTTAAGGTTATCATACTAGATATTTTTTATTTTGATATTTATTAAATTATTACAGTTTTGTGCTTGAAAAAATGTTTCAATGGATTAAGGGGTGAAATTGTTTATAAATTTATTTTTATATTTGATGTTTTAAGTGATTTGAGACTTTTAGATATTATTGAAATAATAGTACATAAAAAATTAGGGGATAACAAGATATTATAATCATATTATAATTTAATATTTAAATATAATAATTTATTTTTAACGTAATATAAAACTATAATATAATTATATATATATATTTTTTTTTCTTTTTTTAATTACTAAATTTTCTTATTTTATTTTTTAATCTTTATAGTTTAAAATAAATTTAGTTTTCTTACTTTATCTTTTCCAATCCTTTTAGTCTCTATAGTTGAAGAAAAATATTTTTAACCTCTATATTTATAGTCTTTTAATTTGTAGTTTTGGTTTATTTGTATTTTTTTGTAACATTTTGTTTTTCGTGTTGTTGACTCATGTATTAATTTAATGTGTTTGATATTAAATTTATTTTGTTAAAATTACTCTAAATTAGGTTTCAAACATTAATTTAACTTGTATTTGATATTGAATTTATTTTGTTAAAATTATTTTAAATTAGATCTCTATTTTATGACTCTTTTGTATCCTTACCTACAACGCATATTGTTGAAATATCATTTTTTTTATCCTTATAAGGTCAATGCAAACCAAATGTTAAAATAAATAATAATGAAAACTAAAAAAATTATAAAATTACAAGTACAAACACTAAAAAAATTTATCTTAAATTATAAGAACTACAAAGAATTAAAATAAATAAACATAAAAACTAAAAAATATATTTTAAATTATAAAAAAACAAAAATAAAATAAGTAAAATTATATAAATTAAAAAATATTTTAACCAAAATATTTTTATTTCTAACAAATTTAGAAGTCGACAATCTCTAGGACCTTTATCGAGGTATTCGTGTGTGTGAATTCTGACAGGACCTCTATCATGTGTTCATGATGCATGAATTGCGACATTATATTCAGGATATCGTGTGTATACAGTATACTTACAATTTTCCTTAAATATGGTCAATGGAAAACAGGTGGCCAGTCAAAAATATCGTTTTAAGGAATAATTAGGCTCGAACTCATAACTTCCACCATATCAAGATGACATTTTACCGCTGAGTTATATTGAATAATTAAGCTCGAACTCATAACTTCCACCACATCAAGATGACACTTTACCATTGACACTTTACCATTGAGTTATATTCCTTCCCTTGCCTCCATCGAGAAATAGAACTGACTAATTCTAAGGCAAAGGGTCGAGAAACTCAACACCACTATTCTTAAATACTGATTAAAAAGATAAATATAGCAGTAGTTTGACGGCAATAGAAGAAGCTCTCTTCCTCCGTGATAGTTCTATATATTGACTGCATTCAAATGTTTGAATTTCAAAAAAAATTCCTGTGGCTACATATACTATACATCACATGTAACACTTTATTTCTATTAGTGTTGTACACGAAAAATTACAAGAATGCCATGATAGTTCTATTTTTGTTTCGGATCAAACTATCATAAAAGCTGAACTGCTGCTATGGCAGGTATTTTTTCTCGCAACTTTTGTGTAACCGCTACACGCACAGTCATGACACTAGCAGCAGGACCTGTGATTCGGACCTTTACTATTGGCTCATCAATGCCCACCAATTCAAGTGTACCATCAGCAGCCCCAACCAAGTATGGCCTTATTTCCTCAAGAACCTGAAGCAGTTAATAAATATTAAACTCTGCGAACATTTCATAGTCATACTAGTGTTATAGAAGTTTTACACAAACGTTATTCTTATTCATTTAGACTAAGAACTGAACAAGTCCTGAAATTAACAATGGCAATAGTAATTAAACTAGCTGAGAATAACGTTATTCTTGATATAACGAATTAAAAAGACAGAAAAACGTCCATCATTTCCCATTTCTTACCATATCAACAAATAAGAAGGTCAAACATGGCAGATGTACCGCTCTTTCAATAAACCCAATATAAAGAAACATAAGCTTATTTCAACATTAGACCAGTCTCAATAAACACAATCCAATACATAAAACAAATAAAGAACAACATTTGCAGTTTAAACCCTAATGGGATAAAGCATCTTCCTTCTACTGAAAAGCTGGACTTGATATTTAGTGTTGAGAGAAAAATCAATTCCATATGGAAGTCCTTACCTCAGATGTTACTCAAATCCCTTTCCATCAATGTAAACAGTGTACAGATTTGAGTAACATCAAAAGTAAAGACTTCCCATATGAATTTGATTTTGCCCCGCAACACACGGAACACAGGAAGTTTACTTTCTACCTTAACTACTTTTTTCACGGAAGGGCTTAACGTGTGTAAATTTTTACAAAACTTGTACCAAATAACTAAGCAGCTCTTCCTAAAAAATGAGTAACTTTTTCCCAAATTGTTTGAATATCACAGTTGATTTCCATCAACTTCATTGATTACAATGCAATTATATTAGTATATATATTAGGCGTATTTATTATTCATTAATTTTTTTCTTAGAAGTAAATCAGCTATAGTGTTTCAAAGAAATCCCGAAAAACAATAAAAACTACACCTTTTTTAGTCTTTGTTTGATTCGTTGTTAATTAAGCCCATTGAATTACTAATTCACAATGAAAAGCCCAGAACAACCAGTGAAGTATATACATAATAGTCGTAATGAAACACAGAACTAACCTTCTCTATATTTTCTTCATTTAGCTCAAGGCCAGTTTCTTCATCAGGTATTGGTTCAACTGCGACTATTTCAGGAATCTTCTCCATTAATCGACGCTCAATGCCCAATTTCATTGTTGTAACAGAACTTGGACAGGAGCCACATGCACCCTGTAGCTTCAACCTTACAACATTGCCATCAATTTCATGCAAAGCGACATTTCCGCCATCTGCAATGAGATACGGTCGAATTTCATCCAATACACTTTCTACATTTTCAGCAGTTAAAGGCAATTCCACAGCAGGGTTTGGAGTGGCAACGCAATTTACAGCTGTTCAAGCATAAGAATCAAGTTGAGATTGGGTTTCCCAAATGTCATATAAAGGAAAAATCTGAAACTAAGGCCTGTAGCAGCATGGCATCGTAATCACACATGCACAAATGTTTAAATCGTAATTGGATTATTAAGCTTTGAATTTGAAAGTTAATTGAGAAAAGTAACTAACCAAGGGTACGTGTAGAAAGGGGTAAATGAATCCGAAGAGAAGGACGGAGCAGGTAACCTCTTCTCCTGAAACAAACATGGGCCCCCAGAAACCTTGTTCCCTGCGAAGCGAGAATTGCAATAGCGGATTAGAAAAGGGAAGAGAAGAGAAGAGGGTCATTTGAAAAAAAACCCTAAAAGAAGAAACCTTTTTGGAGGTGAATGAAGGAGAAGATGAAGAAGGTTCAAGGCCTCTGCAGAAGGATTGTGTGTTGAGCACCACAACTTGCATCCTTCCTTCTCTCCCCAAAATGATTTTTCTTTCACCTTTTTGCTCTTCGATTCGAAACAGATCTTTCTCTATAAAAAATCAAATTTTTATTTTTTATATATATGTATATGCTGCTCCTTTATCAATTTCTTCTTAAAATAAATTGGAATGCGTTACGTCTCTGAATCTGATTCATGTCGTGCTTCCTTCCTTCTTTTTGGGCCTTTTATCTAAGCCCAACCTTTTCGCTCTATTTTGCTCTTACAGTTTTTTGTTACTTTTAATGATTTTTATATTATACCTGATCGATATCCAAAACTTTGATGAATACTGGTTTTGTATAACAAATGATAAATAAATGACATTTTATCAAGTAAAAAAACATAGTTAGACATTGAAATGACGCATCAAAATTAATTAAAGTGAAAATCCATTCTCAAATTTTCAATTAAGTCATTCTAATCATCTATTTCCCCACCTCCCTCTTTCTTTCCAATTTTATTCTATGCAAAATTTTCAACGACCATTTAATCATATAATTTAGATAATATAAGTAATATTCTTTTAAAATTTAGATAAATTTTTTTAACATAGATTAATCGTTGACAAAACTAACAAATCATTGTTTGTGTCGATATATTTATATAAAAAAATCTAATAATTAGGAATTGGAGAACACTAAAATGTAAGAAAACATATTATATCAGAATTTGGTGTCAGAACTATTAAATTTACGTAGATACATAAAAACTTTCCTTAACTTTTACAAACAAACCAAGGCCAGAAAAAAAAACACACATAGAATTTGGAGTGTTGAAGCATGCAGATATTAAAGATTAAAAAGGAGAAGCATAAAGAGGATTATGGTGATGGGTAGTGGAAGATGATTTTCTCTTGAAAAAGAAATCTCCGACGAGAGGGATGATTGGTTTCTGTTTGTGTTTCCTTCCCTTCTTCTCTTTCC